CCCCTCTTCCAGGCCAGCTCTCTGCTGTGGGCCGGGAGTGCAGTGGAGGATGGCCCAGGTGCTTGGGCCCTGCACCCCATGGGAGACCAGGAGAAGCACCTGGCTCCTGCCTTCGGATCAGCCAGCCTTAGTGTGCCGGCCGCGGCAGCCATTGGAGGGTGAACCAACAGCTAATGGAAGACCTTTTTCTCTGTCTCTCTCTCTCACTGTCCACTCTGCCTGTCAAAAAAAAAAAAAAATGCAATTGGCAGCTGGACTGGGATTTAAGCAGGCACTCTGATCTGGGCTGCAGGCATCCAAGCAGTGTCTTAACCACCGTAGCAATGCCTGTCCCCATTTTTCTTCTTCTTTCCTTCCTTCTTCCTTTCCTTCATTCCTTCTTTTTCATCCTCTTTGTTTTTTCCCTTTCTTCCCTTTTTATCTCTTCTTACTTTAAAAGGCAGAGTGACACGGAGAGGGAGAAAGATTTTCTGTCCTGTGGTTCACTTCCCCAATGTTACAGCAGCCAGGACTGGGCCAGGCTGGGCCAGGAGCCAGAAATTCCATCTGGGTCTCCCACATGCTTAGCAGGAACTCAAGTATTTGAACCATTTGTTGTTGCTTTCTCAGGCATATTAGCAGGTTGCTGGATTGGAAGCAGAGTAACCAGGACTCAAACCTGCTCTACGACATGGGATGCTAGTGTGGCAATCAGCAGCCTAACCCACTGTGCCACAATGCCTGCACCCCTAAATCTTTTTTCTTAATGCTCCTTTCTAGATTATCTCTTCTGACCCATTTTCATTTTCATTTATTCAGTATTCAGTTATTTCTAATATGCAGTTATAATCCATCCACTGAATTTTAATTTTGTTACTGTATTTCTGAGTCATGGAATTCCTATTTAGTTCTTTTTTACATCTGCTCTATCACTTTTTTTTTTTTTTATAGTTTCTGGGTGTTATGGGCCTAGGTATCTTAATCTTTATTCAAGGTTCTTACTCCCAAAGAGATAAGAATTCCGAGCAGAGGTATAAATACAGTGCACAAGTGAAGCGGGCTTTAAACAAGACTGAATATACATTCATTCATGAGTGTGGGCCACCCCATACAGAGAGATACCCATCATGAGGGGGCCAGAGAGCTGCCTATGAGGACAGAGTAGGGGAGGAAGCTAGAAAAGGATCCATAAGCATGATCAAGAGCAAAAGGAGGGGCCAGCGCTGTGGTGTAGTGAGTAAAGCTACCGCCTGCAGTGCTGGCATCCCATTTGGGTGCCGGTTTGAGTCCCGGTCAGAAGGTCCTGGCTCCTGGCTTCAGATCAGCGCATTTCTGGCTGTTGTGGCCATCTGGGGAGTGAACCAGCGGATAGAAGACCTCTCTTTCTCTCTCTCTCTCTCTCTCTCTCTCTCTCCCCTTTACTCTCTGTGTAACTCTGACTTTCAAATAAATAAATAACTCTTAAAAAAAAAAAAGGAGCAAAAGGAGGGTCTCTTTATGAGACAGGGAGTGACATACTACATATACAAATGGGGTGGAGCTTATCATATGTGAGGCTTTCTGGGGGTTCATGTCCCCTCCATGTAGAATTTAATTTCCATGTGGGCATCATGGTGTCTCCTCCTTCCTGGTCCTGGATGAGACACAGATGCATCATGGGCAAGTAGGTATACTATATTAACAGATAAAGGAGTAGAGTTACAACATAGAGCTGGCAGAAATTCCAGCTCACCTATTCCTACCTTCCTGCCTTACTTCCCCCACCGCAGGAGGCTGCCAAAATTATCTAAGTTATCTTTTATTTCTCTAAAAAAAGAAAATAAATTATTTTATAGTTTGGGTCTGCTAATTACAAAATCAATTGTTTTTTGCAGGTGTGTTTCTGGTGTATGTATTTCTGTCGGCTTTCACTGAGCAAGTCTTATTTTCTTGTGTACTTGGTTGTTTTAAATTCTGTACTTGGCATTATTTATGAAAACATATATGTAGAAACAATTTAGGGACTACAATTTTAATACTTTCCATCAAAGAGGGTTTTTATTTGCTTTGGCCGGTATCTGATGGTACCACAGATACAACCTTCAGTCTGCTTCTTGAGTTAGGCAGTTTGCATCCAACCTGAAAATTCCTCTGAAGCTGTTCCACTTCGAATTCATCCTGCTGGGGTACCAGTCATTGTAAGGAAGGTCTTATATTTCACTCCTCATTCATTGTGGGTTTTTTTTTTCTTTCATTGAACTACAAAAGGTAGGTGGTAATTTTCTAGCTAGGTAAATGCCCTCAGGGAACTCCCTGGATCCTGGCTTTTCTAGCTTTTGGTCCAGTAATTCCCATATCTTAGATGCCTTGTTATAGGTTCAGATCTGTTGCCCTCAAGTTCCTGGGTTGTAACCCTAATCCCTTGTACTTCAGGGTGTGTATTCCGAGAAAGGGCCTTCAAAGAGGTGATCAGGTTAAAATGAAGCATCAGGATATGCACTAATCCAATCTGATGGGTGACCTTATAAGAAGAGGTAATTTATCAGCCCTTAAGGCATTCTGGTCTGGCTGAAAAGCCCACAGAGCATTTCAGGCATGGAAAGCCAAGACACTGTGGCAAAAAAAAAAAATGTCCTACATGAAGGACCTCTGTGAGGTGAGGCCCCAGTGGAAAGAAGTGGTCATCAAAGAAGGATGTACTTTTCTCTGAAGGGAGGAGAGAACTTCCACTTTGCTTATGCCTTTGTCTAAATTCTGATCAAGTCTGTGGATTCAAAAGGCTTCCATAGCCTAGGCAGCTCATGTCAAGAGCCTTAGGTGATCACTGATGTCATACATAAGTGTTAATTATTAAATTAACAACAGGAGTCACTGTGCACTAATTTCCCATGCAGGACCTCTGTCCTCAAAGAGTTGTATTTTGAGAGTTAACAGTAAACTTGTTCTTAAAGATTTATTTCATTTTAGTGTATTAAGTGGAGGATATTCTTATGTACCATAAGTTTTAGTTATGCCTAAGTGTCCGACCATTGTTTATTTTCTTTGTGCTTCCTTAATTAATGATAAAACTTGTTCTCAAGAACTTATTTTCTTTTAATGTATTAAATGGAAGTCTCTCTCTCTTTTTTTTTTTTTTTTTTGACAGGCAGAGTTAGTGAGAAGAGAGACAGAGAGAAAGGTCTTCCTTCCTTTGGTTCAGCCCCCAAATGGCCGCTATGGCCAGCGCACTGCACCGATCTGAAGCCAGGAGCCAGGAGCTTTGTCCAGGTCTCCCATGCGGGTGCATTGGGCCATCCTTTACTGCTTTCCTAGCAGAGAGCTGGACTGGAAGAGGAGAAACCGGGACAGAATCCGGTGCCCCGACCGGGACTAGAACCCGGGGTGCCGGCGCCACAGAGGATTAGCCTAGTGAGCCGCGGCGCCGGCCTCCTAAATGGAAGTCTTATGTCTCATAAGTTATAGTTATGTCCAAGTGCTCACAAATGATATATCATTCTTAGATGCTTCTTTAAAGTTAATTAAGTTTGTCAAAAAGAAAACAGAAGTGAAAGTAACTTCAAGATGCAATGACTTTGAACAGCGCTTGTCTCGACTGTTGGAACAGTTTTTTTGTGTGTGTGCAAATTGTTGAACTCTTTACTTAGTATAGAATTGGTCTTCTGTGTGTAAAGTTAATTGAAAAATGGATCTTAGTGGAGAATGGGACTGGGAAAGGGAGAGGGAGGAGCTAGAAGGGTGGGAGTGTGGGTTGGGGGGTATGGTAGGTGTAATCTCTATATTCCTAAAGCTGTACCTATGGAATGCATAAAGTTTGTATTTGTTAAATAATAGGTTTCTTTGGGGAAAAAAGTTAAAAAAAAAAAAGGTAACTTGTCCCATCAGCTTTTGCACACCACCGTCCCTTCTCTTCTTTGACAGCCAGGCTGCACATTTTATTTGTGTTTAAATAAAACCTTGGGGGGGGGGGATTGGACATATAGAGAAACATCAGGGGGTAGGTGTTGTGGCTCAGTGGATTAAGCCAGTGCAATGTCTGCCCCGAGTCCAGCTGCCCTGCTTCTGGTCCAGCTTCCTGCTAATGCACCTGGGAAGACAGTAGATGACAGCCCAAGTGCTTAGGCCTCTGCCACTCATGTGCAAGACCAGGATGGAGCTCCACACACATCCGTCAAAGATACACCAACACCCCGAGATGTAGAAACACGGACAGCCCGGGCCTCGACTTCCCTCCTTGTGAGCTGCAGGCATCTTCTGCCTGGGGACAGGGCTAGGAGTTAAAAGGGCAGCTTTTGAAATCAGACAGCCTGGCTGGAGTCCTGGCACCTGCACTCAGAAGTTCTACAGCACTCTGCTCATTTATAATAGCTGTACTTCACGGGGTTGTAATGCTGATGAGACAACAGCGCCTGCTGTTGTGCACATTGGGAGAGCAGACATTCGGAGAGGGAACCAGCAAATGGAAGATATCTCTTAATCTCCCACTAAAACTGTCACTCTGCTCTTCAAATAAATAAATATAAAATCTTAAAAACGGGAACACCAGGAGGAGAAACAAAACCTGCCTCGCTTTTCTTGGATTTCTAGCCTCCACAGCCCAGAGAAGGTAAATTTCCGCTGTGTAGGCAACGCAGTCCGGCCTTTTTTATGGCAGCCCTAGCAAACTAATACAGCCTTTAAGAACATTAAAAAGTACCGATTTCAGACCGTTATTTTAAATTTTATTGTTTTCTAAGACTCTTAGCATTGCCAGGGGTTTTATGTATTTATTTTTCCACTTACTATCATCAACTAATTTCACTAGAATTAAGTTTCAAGAGAACAAGAACCGAGTTTTGCTTATTGCTGATCACCACAGCCGTTCACAAGAGAGCTGCCCGATGAATGAATGAATGAATGAATGACAGACAAGGCTTCCTCCCCGGAAGGGCCGGCCGGCCACGTGGTCTCTCGGGGCGCACCGTCAGGAAACCCAGGCCCCAGCGGCAGGGCGGCCGCGGACCCCAGCTCCCAGAAGCTCTCGGGGGTGAGCGGGGGCGCGCGCGGCCCCGGGGCTGCTCCGCCGGCTTCCGGCTTCCGGGTTCTCGGGCGCGCGCTGCGTCCCCGGAGAGGGCGGGCTTCGCGGCCGCCTCTTGGGGGCGGAGCCGTTAGCCGAGCGTGAGGAGCCCGGGGTAGGACGCGCAGGCGCCCGGCCGTATCCGTAGCGGGACCGCGTGGGGTGGGCTGGAGCCGGGCCCCCCAGCTGGGCCGGGGGGCAGCCGGCGGCTCGGTAGACCTGGAGGTTCAGTCCCGAGGCAGAGGCCCTGGGAGACGTCGGGCTGCGGCCTAAGGAGGCGGAAGCTGGGGGTGGACTTAGCCGCTGCCGCTGGATCCGGCACTAAAGCATCAGCCAGTGAGGTGTGTCCTCGCCCGGCCCCGCCAGGAGCCGGTGCTGAGCAGCCTTCCCAGCCGGCGCTCAGCCCCGCCGGTGCTGTGGCTGGGAAAGCCCACCGCCCTAGGCCTACCCTTGATGGCGCTTTGTGAAAGACCCGTGTCCACTCCGGAGGCCGATGGCCCTCTGGGCTTCATGACTTTTGGAGAATGATTGCGTTGGGTGGAGAGGTGATCGGTCCATAAAAGGCTGGGAGAGACACGATCCGTTAGCACCCAGCCCTCCTCCGAAGAGACGCTGCGGCTGACAGCTCTGGTCCTGCCTGCCTCCGTAGCGCAGCGGGTGAGTGGGGGCCTCTCCGCGTGGGGCTGTGGTCTGTAGGTCCGAGGGTGGCGTGGCTGGGAACACTGAGAACGGAGCGTCTTCGCGAGGAAGCTGCTCGGTCACCAGCTGTTTGATAAGTTCAGATTCCAAAGTTTCTGCACTTCGGCAATGAGACTTTTTCTATACACAGGACATTTTCTGCAAGGCTCCAGGACGCGCATAGTCACGTAGCCTCCTCTTCCTCCCGCCAGACTTCCAAAAGTTGGGCCGACTCCCTTTCCACGGAACTAGCGCCGTTCTCGGAGCCCCAGAGGCACCTGTTCATATAGTGCGGCTGGGAGGAGGTGGTGGATTTGGGCTTTTCCAGATTGGCCTGCTACTGGCAGCGCTGCAGGGATCCTCCTTATATGTAAAGAAGTATATTTTCTGCATTTGAAGGCACCGCCCTCTCCCCCAACTTTAACCTTTCTTGAAACCAGGATGCCTCTCACCAGGGAGGTCCAAAGGAAGTTGCCCGCTGCTGAGCACCCGCCTGGGTGATGCTGTGTCTGCCCCCTGTGCTCACCCCACAGTGCTGTGCCCGCTGAGATACTTGAACTGTAATTTCAAGCCTTTAGTTGTTTTTCTTTTAAATAACTTAAAAAGATAATTATATGATACAGCATTAAAATAAAAGGCTTGTTGTAATTTTTATTAAGGATATGTTGTATCCCCAGCGTTGTCTCAATCAGCGTTACAACCCCGTGAAGTACAACTATTATAAATGAGCAGAGTGCTGTAGAACTTCTGAGTGCAGGTGCCAGGACTCCAGCCAGGCTGTCTGATTTCAAAAGCTGCCCTTTTAACTCCTAGCCCTGTCCCCAGGCAGAAGATGCCTGCAGCTCACAAGGAGGGAAGTCGAGGCCCAGGCTGTCCGTGTTTCTACATCTCAGGGTGTTGGTGTATCTTTGACATATGTGTGTGGGACTGAGAGACAGTGACAGCCAAGAACACTGATTGTATTACTCCTGCATGGGGCCAAGTCTCTGTTTGGGCTTTTTTGTGGTTTATCGATGTATTTCTGCAGGTTCTGGAGTTGTTACATGACAGGCACTTCTGGGTCCCTCCTTTCTTGCCTTTTGCTCCTCTAGAAGAATATGCGCTCAAACCTACCCAGCCGGCTGCCTGCCAGGGAAACAGTGCTCTGTTTAGGAGAGGAATCCATTTTTCAGAAGTGTGCGACTCACAGCAGCCTCCAGGAGCCACACAGACACAAGGAAGTCGTCAGGGCAGGAGACTGTGACCTGGGGATGACCACCCAGCTGTGACGCTTCTCCTCCAGGTTCGGCAGTGTCCTCTGCAGAGCGGGCAGGCCCGCCCAGGCGGGCATCAGCATGCCGCAGCAGCTCCTGATCTCCCTGCCCACCAAGGCCAGCGCCTGGGTGAAGTTGCAGCATCCAAAAAAGACCAAGGAGGGCGCGCCCCTGTGGGAGGATGTGACTACGGTGTTTGAAGGAGAAGGTGAGGATGAGGGAAGAAGCTGGTCTCATCTGTGTGTGAAAAGATGGATATACACTTCATTGAGCTGGTCTCGTGGCATGGAAACTGGGGGAAGAAGGTCTTTGGGGTTCATGCTTGGGGCTTTTGGGAAAAGCATAGGTGTGAGAGAAAATACTGGGATCCCAGCCCAGGCTCCTTGTGACTTGTGCCGAATGCTGTTCCCATCTGTCCTCACACAGGACAGGAAGACAGATGCAGAATGTCCCCATCAGTGGCTGCTAAGAGTGGGGATGTGACTCACAAGGTGGAGTTTGGGAGGCTGTCAAAATTTTCTTCCCATTAAGTCCTTCAAGGGTTTTCCTGTACAAATTCCAGTTATTTTTATTCCAAGCCAGCGTTTTCTCAAGTATCAGCTTTTTCATGTCATCAGGAGAGAGACAGCAATGACAGGCCTGATTACCCTCATTTCACCTTGAACCCTGTGGGTTCCCAGGGAAACATGTCCAGGATCACACCTTATTTATTTATTTAAAACAATTTTTTTAATATTTACTTAGTTATTTGAAAGGCAGAGATAGAAGGAAAGAAAGAGAGAGAGAGATCATCCCTTATTTAGAGATGTGGTCAAGAGTACAGAGGTGGACAGAGGAATCCATGTGTGTCATGTGCTGTCTTAATTCCTACCTTTTACACTTAAGATTCAGCCAGTATTGTGTTATTTTTGTTTTTGAAGAGGATGGCGTGTTTCATTTTTATTTGAAAATTTTGTTTATTCTCATTTTATTTGAAAGGCAGAGGGAGAATGAGAGACATAGAGACAGACATAGAGCGATCTTCCATCATCTGGTTCACTCCCCAATGCCTACAACAGCCAGGGCTGGGCTAGGCCAAAGCCAGTAGCCTGGAACTCAATCTGGGTCTTCCACGTGGTTGGCAGGGACCTCACTACTTTAACCATCATTTGCAGCTTCCTAAGGTGCACGTAAGCAGAAAGCTGGGTCAGAAATGGAGGAGCCAGGATCTGAACTAGGCACCCTGATATGAGATGTGGTTGTCCAGAGTGGCATCTTAACCTCTGCCAAATGCCTAACCCTTGGCTAAACATCCTGACAGATGAAAATAATAATTCCCTGATTACTAACTGATGAAGATAGACACAGATTAAAATAGTGGAAGGACAGCCTTAGCAAAGTTCTTGGGGAATGTACAGGAGTGGGAACTTCTTCTGACTGTCTGTATCTAAACAATTTTCACAAGCCAGATGTTGTTGAATTGGGCCTAGAATGTGTTAGTTTTTTTCTAGGTTTTGGGAAAGGATACAAAAATGGATACCTTGCAGAATGATTTAGAGAATGGGAAATATTTAGTCCAACAGGGTTAAGAGTGTGATGGGTGGGTATGTCGCATGGATAAAGGATGGTAGTTTAGAGGTAAGCAGTGTTAAAAAAATATGCTTAGGGCAGGTCATAGAGTGCCTTTGAATCCCATGGTAAAATGTTTGGATTTTTCTTTCTTGTCCATGGTTTGAACAAAGGGGTGGCCTGATGGGTCAGTGGTTTGGGAGCAGCTTCGACCGCTGGGAAATATTAAGTGCCAAGAGTCCGTGCTGCAGGTCCTCTCATCAGGAGGCTTTGGGCCACTCTTGGGTCCTCAGTGGCCCTCTCTGTGCGAGTGTGGTAGAGGAAGAGCGCGCTCCCTGGATCTGCGTTCTGTCTGGGGGACGTGGGGAGAGGCAGACCTCATGGCTCTTTCCCCTCGCCAGCTCCGCTGTCTCAGGACACTGAAGAGGCCCAGGAAGAATGCTTAGAGGCTGAAGTGACCCCTGGGTTCCTGGCAGCAGAATCACAGGTGGGTTGGAGTTTTCTCTCTTTCTTTCTTTTTTTTTTTTTGTTGTTTTTAACATTACTTCTCAGAATTTAAGATTATAACCTGTCTTTTGTGTGGGAGAGGAGTTTGAGACTAACAAATTTGACCTAGGGCACTTAATTCAAGTTATTGTAGTAGAGAAAATTGGGTTTCCATGGTGGCAATTTCCTACTTGTAGTGGCTTCTCTCCTTGTAACTTGTTTCTCACCAACATCTAGATCTAATACTGAGATAATTTCTGTAGAGAAAGCAAAATCAGTGATAAAATTCTAATCCCCCCCAAAAACCAGCAGGTGCCACTTAGGATCTAAGACAAAGGTCAGTAAAATACTCAGAATGCAAATGGGTGAGAACATTCTGATGCTCTTAGAGACGCACAGGTAGCCTGTGATCTTTGACAGGTGACCCTATCACAGCTGGGCAGCAGAGGTCAAGTCGTAGCCACAGAAGTGAGAGGAGAAGTGGTCAGTTGGCACAGAGACACATTAGACCGGCTGGGCAGAGAAGGCAGGAGCCCTGTCCGAGGCAGTTATAATAGGGTGGCAGAAGTAGGGGCGTCTTACCCGGACTGCTGGAGACACAGATGACATAGAGGGGACATTACAGAATAAACGTAAAAGAAAGAATTTTAAAGATAATGTTACTGGAGGACAGAAGAATTTTAAGTGAAAAGAACTTGGGTTCTGGGGGAAGGTAATAACAGGATTTGATTTTCTCTCATCTTGCTCAAGTGACCTGGGGCAGGTTTTTTTTTGTTTTTTTTGTTTTTTTTTTTTAAGCTATTTGCAATCTCAGTTTCCTTAATTGAGAAGTTCAGGGGCTGATATCTGACTTGTAGAATTAAAATACATTCCAGATTAATTTACAGTAATATGGGAGAAGTAATGCTACTAGTCTTATTATTTGAAGATTATCTTGTCTCTACATCCCCCATATCTGGAACCTCTCACTTCCCAACACTTATCAAAAACTGATGGGATTTTTAAAAAATATTTATTTAAAAGACAGAGTGACAGAGGAGAGACAGATACACAGAGTGAGAGAGAAAGAGAGATTTTTTTCATCTACTGGTTCATTCCCTAAATGACCACAATGGTTGGAGCTGGGCAAGGCTGAAACCAGGAGCCTGGAACTCCATGTGGGTCTTCCACATGGGTAGCAGGGGCCCATGTACTTGGGCCATCTTTTCTGCTTTTCCAGGCACATTAGCAGGGTGCTAATATCCTTGAATTTTTGTCTATTGGCATATCAGTTACTGAGAGAGGAGTGTTAACATCTCTGATTATTTCTTGCTTTAGTTCTGTTGATTCTGCTTTTCTTATTTTAAACTTTTGCCAGAAGATGCATAAGCACTTAGGATTGTTGTCTTTTTGATGAGCTGCTGCTCTTATCATTAGGGAATGTCCCTCTTTTTGCCTAGTAATATTCCTTTTCCTGAAGTCCCCTTTGTCTGATTCAGTATATCTCTTTTAATTCTTTTAATTATTATTTGCATGGTGTGGCTTTCTCCATCTAAAGTGTGACCTTGTTAAATGTTAACTGATGGGGCCAGCGGTATGGCATAGCCGTAAAGCTGTTCCCTGTAGTACTGGCATCCCACATGGGCGTCAGTTCAAGCCCCAGCTGCTCCACTTCCGATCCAGCTCTCTGCTGTGGCCTGGGAAAGTAGTGGAGGATGGCCCGAGTCCTTGGGCCCCTGCCCTGTGTGGGAGGCCCGGAGGAGGCTCCTGGCTTTGGATCGACACAGCTCTGGCTATTGCAGCCATCTGGGGAGTGAACCAGTGGATGGAAGACATCTTTCTGCCTCTCTGTAACTCTGCCTTTCAAGTAAATAAATAAATCTTAAAAAAAAAAAAAAAGTCTTGCTTGCTTAGTCCATTTATAGTGAAAGGGATCATTGATGTAATGCTGTGTAAGTATGTGTTCCCCTTTGTTTGCTATTTGTCCTATTTACTCTTTGTTTGTCCTCTTCTTCTTTCTTTCCATTGAACCATTTTTTGGAATTCTATTTTCTGTCCTCTAATGATTTTTTTTTAAAGATTTATTTATTTTACTTGAAAGTCAGAGTTACACAGAGAGAGGAGAGGCAGAGAGAGAGAGGTCTTCCATCCGATGGTTCACTCCCCAATTGGCCGCAACGGCCGGAGCTGTGCTGATCTGAAGTCAGGATACTGGAGCTTCTTCCGGGTCTCCCATGCAGGTGCAGGGGTCCAAGGACTTGGTCCATCTTCCACTGCTTTCCCAGGCCATAGCAGAGAGCTAGATGGGGAGTGGAGCAGCCCGGTCTCGAACCAGCGCCCATATAGGATGCCGGTGCTTCAGGCCAGGGCATTAACCCTGCTACACCACAGTGCTGGCCCCCTCTAATGACTTTTAAACCATACTTCCCTGATGTGTTTTCAGTGTTGCCCTAGCAATCACAAAATGCATTTTTTTTTTTAATTTGAGAGACAGACAGCTCTCCATCTGCTGGTGCACTCCCCAAATGTCTGCAATGGCCAGGAAGTCAAAGTTGGGAGCTGGAAACTCAATCCAGGTCTCCCTTGTGGGTGACAGGAACACAGTTATTGTGTCATTGTTTCATGCCAAGTTTTGTTTGTTGTTTTGTTCCTCATTTCCTACTTTCTTTTGTCTCCTTTTATGATGTCTTTTATCTTCATTTTGACTATGATAAGTATGGTTTTCTTTGAGTTTATCCATTTTGGGATTTGCTGAGCTTTTTGGATCTATGATTCATTTTATTTTTCTATCAGTTTAGAAAAGTTTTAGCCATTATTTCTTCAAATTTTTTTCTGCTCATTCTTTTCTCCTTTTTTTAAAGATTTATTTATTTATTTGAAAGTTGGAGTTACAGAGAGAGGGAGAGACAGAGATTTTCCATCCATTGGTTCATTCCCCAGTTGGCCGCAACAGCTAGCATTGGGCTAAGCCAAAACCGGGAACCAGGAGCTTCATCTGGGTCTCCCACATGAGTGGTAGGGACCCAAATACTTAGGCCATCGTCTATTGCTTTCCCCAGGTCATTAGCAGGGAGCTGGATTGGAAATGGAGCAGCCGGAACGTGAACTGGTGCCCATGTGCGATGCTGGTGTTGCAGGTGGCGGCTCACTATGCCACAGTACTTGCCCCTTTCTTCTGAGATAGTAGTATTCTCATATATTAGGTACCTTTGATATTCTCCCACAGCCTCGTTTCTCTGCTGCTCCAGTTTGAGTAATATTTGTTGGTCTAGCTTAAGTTTTACTAATCTTGTCTTCATCAGGATCTAATCTGCTTTAATCCCATCCAATGAATTTTGCATAATTTTCACTTAGTTATTTTTTTAGCATTTCTATACCTCTCCTCAGTGACCCCCATCTTTTGCACATTTGATCCATAGTGTATTGTAAATCCTTTAATGTGTATTTTAATAGTTACTTTAGGCCAGCGCCGTGGCTCACTTGGCTAATCCTCTGCCTGCGGTGCCAGCACCGCAGGTTCTAGTCCCGGTTGGGGCGCCGGGTACTAGTCCCAGTTTCTCCTCTTCCAGTCCAGCTCTCTGCTATGGCCCGGGAGGGCAATGGAGGATGACCCAAGTGCTTGGGTCCCTGCACCTGCATGGGAGACCGGGAGGAAGCACTTGGCTCCTGGCTTCGGATCGGCGCAGCGCTGGCCGTGGCGGCCATTAGGGGAGTGAACCAACGGAAGGAAGATCTTTCTCTCTGTCTCTCTTGTCACTCCCCCACTAGCGTAGGGACGACACTGGACCCTGCACTGTTCTTTTTGCCTGGCCTTTCCCGGGTTTGCTGCTGGTCCTTCCTGGGTTTGCTGCCAGCCCCCCGGATTAGCTGCCAGCCCCCCACCCCAGCCTCCGCGGAGGGGCGGCACCCCTGCCCCTTTCCCCGCTTCCGTGGAGGAGCGGCACACCGCCGGCCGGCTTTCTCAGGGGCTGCTCAGATGTTCCTCAGATGTTCCTGGTGCATGTTTTTTCTCTCCTCCATTATAGTCCTCTTCCACCAATCCCAATTCTGCTACCCACACGCCGAGCACGCTGCTCTCCTCCAATCAGGAGCAGGATCAGCTCCTGCAGCTTATCAGTCAAACTGGTGAGGCAGCTGTGTAGAAGTTGTTTGCTATTGCTCAGCGCCATATTGTGGGAGATCAGATGCATAGAATTAGTCCTAGCTGTTCCAGTAATTTAGTCTAGTCTCAGTTGCTCCCCACACTCTCTCTCACTGTCTATAACTCTCTCCCTCTCTGTCTCTCTCTCGGTCTAACTCTGCCTGTCAAAAAATAAATGATAAAAAATGAATAGTTACTTTAGATTTCTTATCTGCTAATTCCAATGACTTGGTCACCTTCAGTTCTGCTTGTATTGGTTTTCTTTTCTTGGTTATAGGCTACACTTTTCTCCTTTTTCATTGTCTAGTTCATATATCATATATAAAAAACAGTGGAGAATGAAGTATAGATATGCACATACTTGTATTTATATATGGTTTTGTTTTGTTTTGTTCTATTTCCAAGAGACCCTAAGCCCTTTCCTCTGTCTGGTGGTTAAAGTGAGACTGAGGGACTAATTGCTCATGTTCTTCCTGGAGCTGTGGCTGAGCTCTGGCTGCGATGCAGCGTCAGTTTGATTGCATTTACTTCTAACTAGCCTGGTTACAAGTGCCCTGCCCCACCACTGCCAAGTCTTGCTCTTTTCTCTTTTCAGTATTTGATCTAGGAAGGGGTTAGACTACAGTTTTAGGTGATTAAACTTTTTTCTGAGCTCTAGAATTCATGCTCAAAAAGAATGTGACGATAGCTGTTCTTTGTGATGATAGCTACTGGGGGGAGAAAGCACTTCTGGCAAACCCTGCCCTCATTCCTCCTCTCTGATCTCATCTTCTTTGCCCTTCCCTAACTGACCTGCAACCATACTGTCCACCTGCCTGCTCCTCAGAGGAGCCCAGGACACCTTCAGAGTAGGTCCTTGGCACCTGCATGGAATGCTCCTTCCTGATTGCCACAGGACTCTCACGTTCACCGACTTCATGTCTCCAGTCACATGTCACGCTTTGAGGGAGGCCTTCGACAACCACCTACGTAAAAAATCATCCCTACCCTCACTGTGGATCTCCCTGCTCCCCTATCCTGCTTAGTTTTTTCCTGAGGCATGTATGACTGTCTTATAGATTTAATTATCCATAATGAAGATCAGAGAAGGAAGGTCCTGGTGAAGCTAGTTCAGAGTCTCAGAGCTGAGGATACTGTCAGAAGTCCTTGGACTTGATGGAGGTGGTCTCTGACTGAAAAGCAGTGTGTTTGATATTCTAGGAACCACTGAGCTTCAAGGATGTATCTGTTGACTTCTCCCAGGAAGAGTGGGGGCAGCTGGCCCCTGTTCACCAGAACCTGTATCGAGAGGTGATGCTGGAGAACTACAGGAACCTGGTGTCCGTGGGTAAGGATGGGCTCTCTATCCAAGAAATCTACCCACTGCTGGGGAGGCACCTATTCTACATTACTCGTGTTGCGATTCCTGGGAGCCTGGCCTTGGGTTCTATATTAGAGACATCTTATTCCCTTGAAAATCAAGCCAGGGCACATCTGATTCTCCTTCCTTGGGCAACAACTTTACTCCGCTTTCTGAGACCCTGAATAACTGGAAGGCTGGAGCTAAGTTCGGGGGATGGTTCTTAAACATAAGCATGAACATTCCTGCTGTTTCCTTACTCATAAGCAGGATATCAGCTTTCCAAACCAAGCGTGATTTCCCAGTTGGAGAAAGGAGAAGAGCCATGGATGGCAGAGAGAGAAGACCTAGGAGATCCCAGTTCAGGTGAGACCAAGGCAGGTGGTGCCTTTTACTGTGAGGGCGGAGTGCTCAGGCCTTCCCAGCCTGGGGAGAAGGCTCAGGCTGCTGGATGGGACCTGCCTTCATCCTGATATCACCCTTTCCAGTTACCCCTTTTCTTCACTGAGCCCCTGCAGATGTCTCTGTGCAGTCAGAGGGAAAAGATATCTTGTCCTCTTTAAGTTTAAACTTGATTTTCTCCAGTGGAGAAAGTCTCTATGTCTAAAGCTCCATTCTCTAAGCAATCAGTGTATATGGTCTCTCCACACAAAACAGATCTCTTTTCATGACATTGTGCTAATCTTTAATTTTCTCTCACTCTATTTCCACTTTTTGACAATGTTCATTTACAATCTCAGCTTCAGTTCTCATTGTGTTTTTAACTCGTGTATCCTAATTTCTTGTAATAGCCATTTCATGAAAACTCCTGCAATAGAAATTACCACAGGATTCCTTCTCACCGAATCTAGTGGTCTTTAGCAATCTTCTTGAACTTTTATTAAGAAGTTCAGAACATCTTACCAAATTTCTATGCTTCCACCTATGTTAAGAAAGGAGACAAGGCTGGCATTGTGTACCACCAATGTTCCATTTCAGAGTGCCAGTTCAAGTCGCTGGCTTAGCTTTCAATCCACCTCCATGCTAATGTGCCAGGGAAAGCAGCAGAAGATGGCCCCAAGGACTTGGGCCTCTGCTATGATGTGGGAGACCAGGATGGAGTTCCTAGCTCTTGGCTTCTACCTGACCAGCCTTGGCTGTTGCAGGCATTTGGGGAGTAAATCAGAGGATAGAATATGTCTGTCTGTCTCCCTCTCTCTGTCGTTCTGCCTTTTAAATAAATAAATAACCCTTTAAAAATTATTTTGGGGGCCAGTGCTGTGGTGTAGCAGGTAAAGCCACCGCCTGCAGTGCCTGCCGGCATCCCACGTGGGCACTGGTTCAAGTCTTGGCTGCTCCACTTCCGATCCAGCTCTCTGCTGTGGCCTGGGAAAGCAGTGGAAGATGGCCCAAGTCCTTGGGCCCCTGAACCCCTGTGGGAGATCCGGAAGAAGCTCCTGGCTCCTGGCTTTGAATCAGTGCAGCTCTGGCCATTGTGGCTCTTTAGAGAGTGAACCATTGGATGGAAGACCTCTCTCTCTCTTTCTCTGCCTGCCTCTCTGTAACTCTGCCCTTCAAATAAATAAACAAAAAATTTTTAAGAAGTAATCAGAACTGAAGCCCTGCTATTCCCCTTCTACTTTTCAAAATAACCAGTCTTTTGAGTTTAGAGTTCTCATTCCCATATCTTCATACTTTTAACACATATATCTCCCTAAGCAATATATGCATTATTTTATGTGTCCTTTTTTTTAAAAAAAATTTTATTTATTTTATTTGAAAGGCAGTTACAGAAAGGCAGAGAGAGAGAGAGAGATTTTCCATCTGTTGGTTCACTCCCCAAATGGCTGCAATGGCCGGAGCTGATCTGAAGCCAGGAGCCTAGAACTTCTTCCCAGTCTCCCATGTGGGTGCAGGGGCACAAGGGCCTCGGCCATCTTCCAGTGCTTTCCCAGGCACATTAGCAGGGCACTGGATTGGAAATGGAGCAGCCAGGACTTGAACTAGTATGGGATGCTGGTACTGCAGTTGGTGGCTTTACCCACTGTGCCACAGTCGGCTCCAATTATGTGTCCTGTTTTTAAATAAATAGTATGTATGCTTCCTTTACTTGCTTTTTTCATTCACCAGTGTTGAGATTCCTGCATACTGTTTCAGTTCATTCAATTCCTCTGAATTAATAAACCACAGTTTACTATTAATAGACATTTACACTGTTTCCAAATTTGGAGGTTATAAAGATGCTGCAGTGAACCTTCATGTACATGTCTCCTTGTACACATATGCAGGTGTTTTACCAAGATGGTTGGTAGATGCGAAGTGTTGGTCATGGACTATGTGCATCTTCATTTTGCTAGTTATTACCAAGTTGCACTTCAAAGCATTTGTACCAATCTGCACTCCCATTAGCAGATTTTATTTATTTAAAAATCAGAGAAACAGAGAGAGAGAGAAAGAGAAAGAACTCTGCCATCTGCTGATGGCATTCACTCGCTCAAATGCCTGCAACAGCTAGGACTGAACCAAGCTAAAGTCAGGGGCCTATAACTCAGTCTGACTCCCCCGCATGGATGGTAAGGACCCAAGTACATGAGCCATCACCTGCTGCCTCCCAGCGTGCTCATTAACTGGGAACTGGAATGGAAAGCAGAGCTAAGACTTGGTCCAGGCACTCTGCCATGGAGTGCAGGCTTCTCCACTGTGCCAAACACATACCCCCTGTAGCTGACTTGGAGAGCTTCCAGAACTCAGTATCTTTGTCAATACTTGACACTGAGGAACTTACTAAATTTTTGCAAATACAGAGGTGAATATGGTATGTTGTTTCTTTCATTATCCTAATTAATAGTGAGGGAAAGCATATTTTTTTCAAGGGAAAGGGTTTATTGGGGGAAACCCAATAGACTGGAAGGAAAGGACGAAGAAGGAAAAGAGGGAGAAGGAGAGTGTAAGAGAGAGATCCAGAGCCAGAGAGAGACAGGTCAGGAGATGGAGAGAAAAAGACAGCATATTTCTTTTATACACACACACACACACATATATATGTTTTAAAGATCTATTCATTTTACTTGAAAGTCACAGTTACACAGAGAAGAAGCAGAGAGAGAGAGAGAGAGAGAGAGAGCTATCCATCCACTGGTTCACTCCCCAGATGGCCGCAACGGCCAGAGCTGCGCAGATCTGAAGCCAGGAGCTTCCTCCGGATCTCCTACGTGGGTGCAGGGGCCCAAGAACTTGGGCCATCCTCTACTGCTTTCCCAGGCTACAACAGAGAGCCGGGTTGGAAGTGGAGCAGCCAGGCCTTGAACCGGCGCCCATATGGGATGCCAGCACCGCAAGCAGCGGCCTTACCCGCTACTCCAGAGCGCCGGCCCCGACAGCATATTTCTTACGTTTATTGATCATCCTTCCAGAATTATTCTTCTGTAAATTACCTCTTTATATCCTTTGCCAATTTTTCTGTTAGTTACCTTTTTTCTTACTGATTTACAGGAAAAAAATACTATGTATATATTTTGGATACCAATCCTTGATAACTCTGTTTTGCAAATGTTTTTTTCTCAATCAATGGCCCTTCTTTCTCTTTCTAAAAAGAGTCTTTTGATGAGTTTTAAAATTTTATATTATTGAATTTGCTAGTTTTTAAAAGTTGTTTGTGCTTTTTGAAAAAAAAAAAAAAAACTTTCTGCCCCATTATTCTCCATTGTGTATGTGTGTGTGTATTCATATCTCTTTAAAGTTTTGCTTTTCATACTTAGGTTTACTTTATCTGGGACTTATTTTATATATAGTATAATGTGGAGCTCTGGTTTAACTTTTCCATGGGAATAGTCAGGTTAGGGACCACTTGTTCAGTCATTGATGCTGCTCTGTCACCTGTCAAGTTTCTTTGTGTGCTTATGTCTGTTTCTGTGCTCTTTTGTTTTATTTTATTTTTTATCCCTGCTTTGATGTCAGGCTCAGTTCACAGCGAGGTGATTTATCCACTTTGTCTTCCATAATTGTGCTGGATGTTTTAAATTTAACAGTTTCAAATGTTCTTCAGCCCCTTACTTTACCATATGAATTATTTAATCAGTGCATCAAATTATGCACATATGCAAATGGTCTCCTGACATTTTGATTGGAATAGAATCAAATTAATAGAGCAATTTTAGGGAAAATTAACATTGTTATAATATTGAGTCCTAGGATCCATGAATATGATTTATTTCTCCATTTATTGATGTTTCTTGATTTTTTTTCAATAGTTTTAGGATCTTCTCCATAAAAGCTTTATATATATTGTACATGTTTTGTCAGATTCATCCTAAAAACCTGCATTTTGTTGCTGTCATAGATGATAAATTTTTTAAATTCTGCTTTCTGCTTGTTACTTGTAATAATAACTGATTTTGAATATTGATCTTGTAGGCAGTCACCTTGTTTCACTCTGTTATTAATACCGATAATAATTCTTACATTCTCCTGGGTTTCTCCTTCTTCAGCTCATAATAATGAAAATAGAAATAAAAACTTCTTTGAATGTGTTTTTGGCTGCCTATGAATAAAATCTCAAAGAGGTTTCATAGATGGCCCAGTCCCTTTAAATAACAATAGTCTTTTAGCAAAATGTTTATTTAATTCAGTGCAGTAATGAAAACTCCTAAGCTCATTCAAAGTTAAATGTTTTCTTCTCCATGTCTCCTGGTAGGGGCCTGCTTCAGGCTTGGATATTGAATTGGGGATTAGTACATAGATGTATGCTTTTCTCTTTCCCTGTCACTTTCTTGTCTTATTTTTTTGAAAGATTTATTTATTTGAGAGGTAAAGTTAGAGAGAAAGAGAGAGAGAGAGATCTTCCATCCACTGGTTCATTCCCCAAATGGCACATTGTAATGTTCTTAGTTTAAATGCTATTTCTAGTGTTTCCTGTTGCTGCAGGAGTAGGGAAAGGGATAATTTTATCTTTCTGAGATTGTTTTCTGAAAGTATTTGTCAATTTAAAAGACTTACATTCTTAAGACATAGAACTGAAATTTCATTACTTAGTAGTATTAGAACAGGACTAAAATATTCAAGTTTCACTATAAATGCATTTTAAAATGATACTTTTAACATGTTCACTGTTTCTTAATTTCATTTCCCATATCCTCTCCAGTCTATACAACTATATTAAAAATAGCTAAAATCTCATGTACTCTATGTATTGTTTTCTAAATATCTATTCTATATCTGCTCCAGTAATTGATTTTTGAAAACATAATAAATATGAGTTACTTGCATTTTTTCTGTTTCTTTCAGACTTGAGGAGTAAGACAGAAACCGATGAGTCAACTGCCAAGAATGACATTTCACAGGAGCAGTTATATCATGGCATTATGATGGAAAGGTTCATGAGAGATGACATCATTTATTCCACATTGAGAAATGTCTCCCAGTATGATGATGCGTTAGAAAGGCATCAGGAAACCCATGGAAGAGATGTGAAACAAGCCATTTTGACCAACAGGAAGAAAGGCCGAGAAACTAACAAATTGGGGGAAAATATCATTGTGAATTCAAATGTTATTATAGAACAGAAGCACCATGAATATGATACATCTCGAAAGAGGAACAAATACAAATTGGATTTGATTAACCATCCAACAAATTACATAAGAACAAAAACTTACGAATGTACTATATGTGAAAAAGTGTTCAAACAACCCATTCACCTTACTGAACACATGAGAATTCATACTGGAGAGAAACCTTTCAGATGTAAAGAATGTGGGAGGGCCTTTAGCCAAAGTGCGTCTCTTAGTACACACCAGAGGATCCATACTGGTGAGAAGCCTTTTGAATGTGAGGAATGTGGCAAAGCGTTCAGACACCGCTCATCACTTAATCAGCATCACAGAACTCACACGGGGGAGAAACCCTATGTATGTGACAAATGTCAGAAAGCCTTCAGCCAGAACATTAGCTTGATCCAACATTTGAGGACTCATTCTGGAGAGAAGCCTTTTACTTGCAATGAATGTGGAAAAACCTTTCGACAGATTAGACACCTCAGTGAGCACGTAAGAATTCATACCGGGGAGAAGCCCTACGCGTGCACTGCGTGCTGTAAAACCTTCAGTCACAGAGCATACCTAACGCATCACCAGAGGATCCACACTGGAGAGAGGCCCTACAAATGCAAGGAATGTGGGAAAGCCTTTAGGCAGAGGATTCACCTCAGCAACCATAAGACTGTCCACACAGGAGTGAAAGCCTATGAATGCAATCGCTGTGGGAAAGCCTATAGGCATGACTCATCCTTTAAGAAACATCAGCGACATCACACTGGGGAAAAGCCTTATGAATGTAATGAATGTGGAAAAGCCTTCAGCTATAATTCATCACTTAGTCGACACCATGAAATACACAGGAGGAATGCCTTCCAAAATAATGTATAAAAACAGGCATTTGACATAAGACCTAAGCCAAGTGTAAGTCAGTGTCTATGCTTTAAAATTTCAGGACTCAGTTAAATTTGAGGAATTGCTAGAAAGATGCTAACTTTTAAATTGTGTTCATTGTGTAAATAGAGATTACTACCATCTACTAACACCTCCATACAAAGTACTTAATAAAATATGGTCCTTCAAATCAAATAAATTCATTATGAAAAATCCACAACATTTTTTTTCTGATTTCATAGTGGATTAATGCATTTTTCTTCATGGGCATTCTAATTCTCTGATTTTCATACAGACCAGCATTTAGGAACTAAATGAAATATCACCACACCTATTTTTTAATTAAAATTTTTAATGGGGAAAGTTTCCACCTGGTATAAAGTTCCGGAGACAAACATAGTTGGATATAGTGAAAAGCCTCCTTCCTCCATTTCCCACCACATTCTACCTACAGGCAACCATATTTTATAACTATTTTTTGTGTGTATCCTTCTAGAGTTTTCTATGTATAGGCAAAAGAATACAAATACAAATATACAAGTTTTTTTTTTTTTTTTTTTTTTTGCAAGATTTGTTTATTTTTCTGAAAGCCAGAGTTAGATCTTCCATCTTCACCCCCCAAATGGCCACAGCATCCGGGCACCAGCTGAAGCCAGGAGCATAGAACTCCATCTGGGTCTCCTGGCAGTGGCCCAAGATCCTGTGCCACCATCTGCTGCTTTCCCAGGTACATTAGCAGGGAGCTAGATTGGAAGTGAAGCAGTTGGGACTTGAACCTGTGCCCATATGAGATACCCACATCCAAGGTGATGGCTTAATCTGTTGTATCACAACACCAGCCCCATAAGTTTTCTTTAAAGAAAAAACAGGAACTTCTTATACAAACATCTGCATGTTACTTTCATTTAGTATATCATGAGGGTCATTCTACCTTTTTGTGGATGTGTAGTATTCCTAGGTGTGAATGTTTAGCCAGTTCACCACGAATGGACTTGGGTTGTTTCCAATCTGTTGCAGTGAACAGTTTTACATATTTTCATTTCTCACATAGGTGTGTGTGTGTGTGTGTGTGTGTGTGTGTGTATGTATATATATATATGGAACTGGAATTTCTGTATTAGATGATATATGCATTTGTATGATAGATACTGGTAAACTGACCTTCATGGAGGCTGGACTAGTTTTTCCACAGCTAGATCTGGAACTGCTGGAGCCATAGCTGGTACTGAAGCAACTCCCAGACCAACAGCCCTATCAGTCCTCAAAGAAACCTCAGCTTATCTCAGTATCTCAACAACATGGCCTAGGAACAGTTGAGTGTATCCCATAGAAACAGCGTAGCATTTGTTATCCCTGGAGCTAAGAAAGAATCTGTACTTTCTTAAATAGTCAGGGGGTCATCGCTGTGGCATAGCAGGTAAGGCTGCCACCTGCAGTGCCAGTATCCCATATGGGTGCTAGTTCAAGTCCCGGCTGCTCCACTTCCAATTCCGCTCTCTGCTATGGCCTGGGAAAGCAGTAGAAGGTGGCCCAAGTCCTTGGGCCCATGCACTCATGTAGGAGACCCCAAAGAAACTCCTGGCTCCTGGCTTCAAATCGGCACAGTTCCGGCAGTTATGGCCATTTGGAGAGTGAACCAGTGGATGGAAGACCTCTCTCTCTCTGCCCCTGCCTCTCTGTAACTCTGCCTTTCAAACAAATAAATAAAAATCTTAAAAAAAAAATAGTAGGCCCACTAGATCTCAGTTGGGGAAGGAGATATTTTCTCACCAACTGCTCTAGTCCCAGACTTCTGAGGCTGCAGCTGCCTGATGAAAGTCCCTTTAAAGAGAAGAGTGTCTCTCTAAATTGCACTTAGCAAATATAATCTTGGCCACAAGCTCTTTGATCAGAGTGAAGGAGACCTGACAATTGAGGTAGAGTACACAGAATGGCAGGATCTACCATGGATGACCACCTGTGAATGTATTAACAAATTACAGTTAACACATGGAAGGAGACACAAAGGAGGATCCACATGACTTTCTAAGTGTTAATGAGCATTAATTGATTAACATTGCTTATTGTGAAATCCGACTCCCAGGCCATTTCCATAATGATTTTGTACAAGTTTCTTTTTCACTCTCATTAACTTTTATTAAATATGTTCATAGATTCCCCCTCGCCTTCGTACCCATAGCTGCTACTCCAGTCAGTCCAAAGCCTGGTACTTAAAGTCCTCCATTATGTCTAGTCTTCCTTCTGTACTTTTGTGCTTTTTTCCATCCCATAAGAGCTCTGACTAAATGTATACATAGTTATGAATCATTAGGTTGCAAATAGCAGAAATCATGAGGGCTATTGATGTCTCAGAGGAGGCTCCTATCAGGGCTACTGAGGTATCTCATGGAATTCAGGGCTGTGCTACATAACATTAGAGGGGACCGGACCCAACCACTTTGAAAAATCCAGATGGTTTTCTCTTTCCGTCTGTCCTTTCTGCATCTGTGTCTTCATTCTGGCTTTGTTTTGTTTTGTTTTTAAATCGCCTCATTGTAAATCAGTTACTGTCAACTCCAGATTTTATGTATGTTCAGTTTCCATCGCACAGTTTCAGAAAGCTATTTCTCTTTCGCTTCCAGTCTCAAATTCCTGTGGGAAGATTTTAACTGGCCCACCTGGGTCAGGTGCCCACCCTAAGTAAATCAACAAAGCAGAGAGCTTAGCTTCCATGGAACCATGGGGATGGAGTGATGGCTGGAAGGGCAGGAAAGCAGTTCCTAGAAGGGCTTACTATTCACCGTTTCAAATCCTATCCATTTCTCAATATCAGCTCATGGAATCAGGGTTTTAAAACTGGAAAGTGGAAATTCACTCAAGAAAAACCCCTCACTTAGGTGAGATAAGCAACAGAGCACCTCTTTACACATAGATGTGAACCATGGACATATTTTAAGCATTTTTTTCTGTTTATTATCCTAACTTTCTAAGTACTTGCCCTTCATGAGCTGAACACAACCACTCTGCCTTTCTTATAAGGTTTACTTCTTTGATCTACTGCCCCAGGGTATTTTTGTTATGCTTCAGAGCCTACCCATTGGCTTGACCTTTTACCATATCTGTTTATTCATTCTGTTCACTTCAAAGGCACCTCTCCTGCTGATCACATAAATGTCCTTCCCCAGGCTGCGTTATTGGGCATATTCTGTTCTGTAGCTCCATGTTATGTTTGGTTGATCTTATTGACATTCAACATTTCTTTTAAGTTTTTTTTTTTTTTTTTTTTTTTTTTTAAGATTTATTTATTTGAAAGGCAGAGTTACAGAGAGGCAGAAGCGGGGTCGGGGAGAGGGAGTCTTCTATTCACTGGGTCACTCCCCCAAATGGCAGCAACGGCCAGAGCTGGCCAGATCTGAAGCCAGGACCCAGGAGTTTCTTCCAGGTCTCCTATGGGAGTGCAGGGGCCAAGGACTTGGGCCATCTTCCACTGCTTTCCCAGGCCATAGCAGAGAGCTGGATCAGAAGTGGACAAGCCAGGACTTGAACTGGTGCCCATATGGGATGCTGGCACTGCACGTGGTGGCTTTACCCACTATGCCATAGCGCTGTCCCCCAACACTTCTTAAACCTACATTTTTTTAAAGATCTATTTTATTTATTTGAAGGACAGAGTTACGAAGAGGTAGAGACAGAGAGAGAGGTCTTCCATCCGGTGGTTCACTCCCCAGATGGCCACAATGGCCAGGCTTGCACCAATCCGAAGCCAGGAGTCAGGAGCCAGAAGTTTCTTCCGGGTCTCCTTTGTGGGTGCAGGGGCCCAAGCACTTAGGCCATCTTCTACTGCTTTCCCAGGCCATAGCAGAGAGCTGGATTGGAAGAGGAGCAGCCGGGACTAGAACTGGTGCCCATATGGGATGCTGGCCCCACAGGTGGAGGATTAACCTACTGCGCCACAGCGCCAGCCCCTAAATCTATATTTTAATACTAGAAATCTCTCCTGAGCTGTTGAATATATTTGATATCCCTCTGGATAACACCACATGGATATCTTGTAGTCACCTCAGGGTCAACATGTCCAGAACTCATAATTTTTTCATTAAAATGTGTATTCCTTAACCCAGAAAGTGGTATTACCATATATATCCAATTGTCCAGTCCACTTCTTTCATTCTTTACCTTCCTAATCATTCACTGATTCCTGTATATTCTGTGAGGATCTCGGGCTCTCTCCCCTCTGTCCTCATTTACATGCCTTACTCAGGTTCTTAGCACTTCCTAAATGCTTAAGTAGAGGCCTCGTTTTGTTTTGTTTGGTTTCATTTTTCTAAATCTAAGCTATTTTCTATATCTAAGCTATTTTCTTTATCCTCCCATGGGTGCTACAGTAATCATTCTAACACATATGTAACCAAATTATTGTGATGCCAGTGCTGTGGCGCTGACATCCCATATGAGTGCCGGTTCAAGTCCCAGCTGCTCCACTTCCAATCCAGCTCCCTGTAAAGTGCCTGGGAAAGCCATGGAAGATGGCCCAAGTGTTTTGGCCCCTATATCCACGCAGGAGACCTGAAGGAAGCTCCTGGCTCTTGGCTTCAGATCAGCTCGGTTCCAGCCATTATGGACTTTTGGGGAGTAGACCAGCAGATGGAAAACCTCTCTGTCTCTCTCTCTCTCTAACTCTGCCTCTCAAATAAATGAAATAAATCTTTTTTAAAAATTATTTTATTGCTTAAAATCCTGGTACAGTTTCTCATGAAGATAAAGGTCAAGTTTGTTAACATATAACACTTGGTATAGAATATTGCCCATTGTTGGTAAACTGCTCCCTAATTTTGGCTCAAGCTTACTTTGTTTCAGCCATAGACACCTCACGATCCCCTAAATATCCCATGCTGTTTCACGGTTTCTTACCTCAGCTGTGCAGTTTCCTCTTCCTTCTTCCCAGCTTCCGTAGTTAGCACCTCCTCATCCTCCCAGATTTAGTTTGTATCATATCATCAGGGAATGACACGTGATACACTTTACAAATGGACCCGTGACTTCTTGGCTGGATTTATTAAATAAACTAGAAATAAGGTTTATTCTATGGGATTTAAATTAAAATTACTCTGAAATCCATGTGGAAGAACTAAGGCTCAACATGAAGCAGTAGCCAGTGGAATAACACCACTCAGTTCGCTTCACAATGCTGCTTGCTTTGCTTCCCTCCTTTGTAATACTTGTTACCATGGTGTACTCGTTTTCTGTTGCTATAATAAAGTACTGGGTACTTTTCAAAGAAAATGTATTTAAACTTACTATTTTGGAGTCTGAAAATCTATGACCAAGCAAGCCCCGCACCCCGCCCCCCCCCTTAGTTCAGTCCCCTCTGTTTTGCATCTGGTGATGTTCTAATGGATGACATTGTTGTATGAGTGCATTCAACAGGGCAGCTCACATGGCAAGACAGAAAGACAGAAAGCAGGGATGCCCCGCACCCTTGCTCTGTTATAACAACACTCTCCTATGGAAACTGGGGGGTCCTGTGAGAACTGTTAATCCCTTCCCAGGACATCAACTTCAGTGACTTACCCATCTCCCACTAGGCTCTACCTCTTCCAATACCTCCCAACATTGCCACACTGAGGACCAAGCTTCCAACACATGAACTTCAGGGGCAAAAACCAACCGTAGCATATGTGTTGATTTAGAAGGTACAATCAGAATATATTCTCAAATACAGAATATCACCAGTGGGGTTCTCTTGAGCACATTAAGATCATATGATGATTCCAGCACCTGCAAAGAACTCAAACATAAGCAAGATGAATTCTCTGTGCTTGAGGCTCAGATGTTCTAGAGCAGCACCATCCAAGGGAAATATAAAGTGAACAAATGCAAAGCACATGTAACTTCAAAGTTTTTGGCAGCTACAGCAATACAACAAAAAGCAATATGTTAAATTAATATAAAATGATTTATTTAACCCAATATATCCACGATGCTATCATTTCAACATGCAATCAATATGAAATTATTTTTTGGTATAAAGTCTTCAAAATATGGTATGTACTTTATAATTACATTACTTACATTTTATTTTGGACTAGCCACATTTCAAGTGCTCAAGAGCCACATGTAGTGTAGCTAGCATCTTGTGGACAGCACAGCTCTACCGAATACGTCTATGAGTATAAAAACTTACTCTGATACCTGGCAGACTGTAGTCAGTGCAGTGTTAGAGATATAAATTCTATCTTCCAAAAGACCAAGGAAGGAAGAATGAAAAGAGGGAAAAAGACCATTTTTGTGTCACAGTTTTTCCATGGTTACAGATACTCCTGGAGACAGAAGAATCAAATCAAGGAATTGTACAGATGGACCCTAAAATACCCAGACTTCCTGGGCTAACCTTTTCAGGGAAGGAAACCCTTTTGTGAATTTCAAGGCTGGTCTGCAGGTGGAAAGTTTTGAGCAATATGGTATGTCTACTTTGGATACTTCTTTTCCCCAGATCCCATGACTGTTTCTCAATCGATTCTCCACTCAGTGGCATTGCCCTGGCCCCACCCCCAAATTCCATTTGGCAAGCAGTGCAGGTGTGCAGGACTGGGGAAGGGTTTTCCTGGCACTGGTTACTTCTTGGTTGACAAAAAGTTATGTTGGGGGGGCGGGGGAGGTAGACACCTCCAGCCCCAATCCAGCAAAGCCTTCTTATTTCACACTTGTCTAAGAAGCTTTCCTCAACTTCCGTACCCCTAAGACAAAGGTCGTTCTCCTACATAACCACAGACTCACTCCAGCACTCAGGATGTCTACCACAGAAAGGTTGGTCAAAATAAGCAGACTTGGGGCAGGCAATGATGTGGTGTTTAAGATGGTCTCTGGGACACCCGCATTCAGATTTGAGTTCTCACTCTGCTCCCAATTCCAGCTTCCTGCTGATGTGCCCCCAGGGAGCCTGCAGATGGTGCCTCAAGTACCTGGGCACCTGCCACCAGTGGGAGACCCAGATGGAGTTCCTGGCTCCTGGCTTCAGCCTGGCCCAGCCCTATCTGTTGTGGCCATTTGGGGTGTGAACTAGAGAATGTGAGATTCTCTGTGTCTCCCTTTCATGTAAAATGAAAGTAAATAAAAATTTTAAACAGATTTACTTAGGAGGCGGGGGTGAGGGAAGAGAGAAAGAGCAAACCATCTCCCATCTGCTGGTTCCCTCCCCAAATGGCCAAAACGGTCGGGGCTGGGCCAGGCAGAAGCCAGGAGCCTGGAACTCCATTCGGGTCTCCCACGTGGGTGCAGGGGCCCAAGAACTTGGGTCATCCTTCTCCGCTTTTCCCAGGCCATTAGCAGGGAGCTGGATCGGAAGCGGAGCAGCCAGGACTCGCCGGCCCTAGGTCCCAATAAATTTCTTTAAAAAGTAAGCAAACCGAACACATACATCGAGCGCCGGCACTTTTGAAAAGTGAGTTCGTTCGCAGGGCTGCTGGGAGGAGCTGACGACCAAGGGCGGCCAAGTGGAGGCAGAGGCCAGCTGCCCCGGGGCGAGGGGCGTGTGCGGGCCTTTCTCACACTGGCCCGGCGGCCCGCCTGTGACAGGGTTTGTGGCTGGGTGACAGCAGCGCTGTCTGGAATTAAGAGGCGCAGAGACGCCACCCGGCTTCAGAGAGCGCTCACACGCCCACCCAGCCGCCGCAGTCTCGTCAGAACCAGGCGCCGCGGAGGCCTCTGGGAAGGGGCGGTCCTTGGCAGGCGCTGAGCATGCTGGGTCTGGGCGCTGGGCGGCTTCTGTCGAGTGCCGGGCTGGGCAGGAGGTGTGTCCAGCTTCTTCATGCAGGCGGCGGGTAGAGTCCAGCAGCAGTTCCGCGGCTGCAGCCGAGCCAGGTGGAGTCCGGGGTGTGGCGGAGCATCTGAGGTTAGGGGAATGGGGGTAGAGGGCTGCACGGCTTGCGTTTTGGAATCCAGGGCTCTGTCGCCACAGTGGCCGCGTCCCCCTCCGCGGGTGGGAGGGACGCCCGCCCTCACGGTTCAGCTCTCCTGCCCTCGCGGGCCGGGTTCCCGTGGGTTCTGGACCTGCGCCCTCGGAAGACCCTGCCTCGGCTGAGATCCTCCGCCAGCGCCGGCGACCTGTTACTCCCGTTCCCCGCTCCTCCAGGACGTTGTGGGGGAGTGCACAGGACACCTGAGGGCGTGCGGGAGACGGTGGTTTGAGGTCCAAGGAAAGGAGCCGCTGAAGCCAAACGCCCTCGGAGTCCCAGCGTACCGGACGCGCCGGCCGAGTCGGGGTGTTGAGAGTGAGGCAGTGGCAGTTCCACAGGCAGCGGGGACCCCAGGGGAACAGCCTCAGGTCTCAGCTGGAGCTGGAAGAGAGACCCGGAGCTCCGGGGGACCTTGGTTCTTTTTAACTCACTTGCTGGCAGGGAACAGGGACGGGATCATGATACTGCATCCAGGAGCTGGGGAACACGAAGTGGTGGAGAGTTTGCCCCGGGAGAGAGGCGAGCGTTACCTAAGATCTGGGGTGGGCAACAGTGTGTGCAGTGTGGATCAGAGAGGAAGAAACATCACAAGGTGAGGCAGCGGTCAGGTGAGAAAGGACCAAAAGGCCCCCGCTACCCTGGCGAGGTCCCAAGTGGCTAATCGGGTTCTTCCTGCAGACCTGGGCCTTCAGAGCTGCTTGCCTCTCCCCCAGCCTTGTCATTTCATTATGCTGCCCTTCCCATGATGAGGAAGACCAGCTAAGTTCCAGGTGCGGAGTTTCTGCTCTCCCAAAGGTTAGAGGGGACGCGCTATGCCCTCTCTTCCCCGGGAAACGGGGGGAGACCCCCATTCCCTGACTACTGATATGGGTGCTGTGTCTTATCCTGCAGTGGTTAGAGAGCTGAGCTGGGCTCCAAGGGGTCTTCTCACTTTAAGGATGTGTCAGGAACTTCAGGAACACTAAAACCGGATCTCAGATTTCTCAGCAGCCAAGTGGCATACGACTAAACACTCCTGAACTGCTGGGGTCGCCTTCAGAATCAGGATCCATGGGCCATTCCTGGCTCTGTGCTGGGTGTCCCAGACATCTCACTTACTTGCCACATAACAATTTTTGCCATACTAATGTAAGACCTATATTGTTATTCTCATATTTTTTACCTATATATTTTTTTAAAAAAAGCCAAACGTGTCTTAAGAAAATTATCTGTGAAATTAGGCATTGGATGGGTGCTCTGTTATAGTTATTCTAAGGGCATCTAAGAATGTTACGTGCACTGTGTGAAATCATCTCAGGTATCAAAGACGTACAGACTGCATTTTGGGACACAGTGCACTGCATCATGTTCTCTCCTGGGTATTTTTCTGCATAGGAAAGTCCAGGCTACACATCTGAGATTAAATCATCCATCCCTAGGGTATCGTTTTCTTCTTTTATGTGACTAATTCCACGGAAATGCCTCTGCCTCTTGCATCCTCTACACAGGACGATTCCCTTTCCCATTGAGGATGACCTTGTTCTCCATGTTGTGTGTAAAACAAGGAAAAATGTCTTTATCTTTCAGAGCTTACTCTTCTTTGGGGGTTAATGCATATACATGAAATAGTCTATCAGTGCTGTCCAACAGAATGTCCTGTGATCAGGAAAATGTTCTCTGTGCCTTATTATGCACCCATGAGTCACATAGAGCTGAGCACTTCAGATGTGCCGGGACTCGAACTGGTGCCCATATGGGATGCTGGCACCTTAGGTGGAGGTGGAGGCTTAGCCCACTCTGCCACGGCACCAGCCCCTAAAGCAGTAACTTTAGGATACAAGCAAAAATCTTAGTGTAATATTCCTTTTTCTCATTGTAAATAACTTCTATGCTTTTTTTTCATTAGTGACATTTAAACTATTTTTTAGAGGTTTATTTATTTATTTGAAAGAGTTATAGAGAGGCAGAGGCAGTTAGAGAGAGAAAGGTCTTCCATCTGCTGGTTCACTCTCTAATTGGCTGCAATGGTCAGAGCTGCACTGATCCAAAGCCAGGAGCCAGGAGCTTCTTCCAGGTCTCCCATGCTGGTGCAGGGGCCTAAGGACCTGGGACATGTTCCACTGCTTTCTCAGGCCATAGCAGAGAGCTGGATTGGAAGTGGACAGCCAGGATTTGAACCAGTGCCCATATAAGATGCCAGCACTGCAGGTGGATGCCCTTTACCCACTGTCTCACAGCACCGCCCCCTGACATTTAAACTATTTAAAAATTAGTTAAGCACAAACATAACTAAATATTAATGACCTTCTCAGGATATCAGCTCTCAAACTTTGATACAGGTAGTTTATTCCTTATTAGAAGAGCAAGGAGGCTCATACTTAACCTCCGTCAGGTTGTATTATGTGTCACTTTTTTTTATATTTCTCCTCTCAAAGTCACAAACTACTATTATTTGACTGGTTATGCCTTGTTTTTGTCTATGCAAAATTAGATATGGGAGGTTAGGAGGAAGGCTTAAAGAAGAATATTGTCAGGGGCCAGCGCTGTGGCTTAGTGGGTAAAACCGCTGTCTGCAGAGCTGGCATCCAATATGGGTGCCAGTTTGAGTCCCAGCTGCTCTGCTACTGATCCAGTTGCCTGCTAATGTGCCTGGGAAAGCAGTAGAAGATGGTCCAAGTCCTTGAGTCCCTGCCCCCGTATAGGAGACCTGGAAGAAGCTCCTGGCTCCTGGCTTCAGATTGGCCCAGCTCCAGCCATTGCAGCCATTTAGGGAGTGAAATAGTGGATGGAAGACACTTCTCTCTCTCTGTAACTCTGGTTTTCAAATAAATAAATAAATAAATAAATAAATCTTTTTCCCCCCTAAAAAAGTATTGTCATAAGTTGCCTTGTTTCTTGAGATTAAAAATACTTGTGAGAGAACAACTAACAAACATGATGAGTGGTCTTTGCTGGTTTAAAGAAAACCTATCTGAGGGCCGGCACTGCGGCTCACTTGGCTAATCCTCCGCCTGCGGCCCCAGCACCCCGGGTTCTAGTCCCGGTTGGGGCACCAGAATCTGTCCTGGTTGCTCCTCTTCCAGGCCAGCTCTCTGCTGTGGCCCAGGAAGACAGTGGAGGATGGCCCAAGTGCTTGGGCCCTGCACCCACTTGGGATACCAGGAGGAAGCGCCTGGCTTCTGGCTTCGGATCGGTGCAGTGCGCCGGCTGTAGCAGCCATTTGGGGGGTGAACCAACAGAACAAAGACCTTTCTCTCTGTCTCTGTCTATCTCTCTCTGTCTAATTCTGCCTGTCAAAAAAAAAAAAAAAAAAAAAAAAAAGGAAAAGAAAAGAAAACCTATCCGAGACATGTTTAAAATAGTTGGAGAAACCTAACTATGGACTAGGGTATTGGGAAATTATTGATTTTGTTAGATGTGATAATAGTATTGCATTTATGTAGGAGATGTAGGAGAATGCCATTTGGAAATATATGCTGAAGCATTTAGATGTGAACTGTTATAATGTCTGTAATTTACTTTAGTTCAGCCAAAAAATATGCACACACAAGAAGCAAATATGAAAAACCTTCAAAAATATTCTGTAAAGATGTAATCAAAACATATGTGAAATTTTTGTGTTTTGTTTTTTTTTTTTAAAGATCTTTTGTACAGCCAACTGTCAACAGTTGTTTGTCTTCCTGGTACATATGAGTATTCATTGTTGTGTTCTTTCTGCTTCTATGTTTGAAATTTTTCACAGAAAAAAGTAGTGAGATATTAGGTGTAAAGCACTTGGCTCAATGTCCAGTATACAGTAAAGACACAACAAGTATTTGCTGTTACTTACAGCAATAAACTTTGGGTTAAAATTTTTGAGAATCAGAGAGAGGGAGAGTGACCTAGTGAGAAAGTGCACCCCCATCTGGTGGTTCAGTGGCCAGGGCTGAAGCCAGGAGCCAGAATGCAAGCCAGGCCTTCCCACAGAGGTGTCAGGAACCCAATTACTTAAGCCATTATTGCTGCTTCCTAGGGTCCACATTAGCAGGAATCTGGAGTCAGAACCAGAGCAGGGGGCATTGAATACAGGTGCGCTAGTGTAGAATGGACACAGGTGTTTAGCCACTAGGCTAATAGTCTGTTCCAAATTTTAGGTTTTTAACAGCGTTTTCAGACAGATATATTCCATTCTGAGTTAAGTTCTTGTATAGAAAGGAAATAAACTGTATGAGAAATACCAGTTTAATGGCAAACACCAATTCTTATAATTTTAAGAGAATAATTTATAGTCTGTAAGGAGTAAAGATAAATTAAAACCCACCAAGAGCTTTTTATCCTGGCCTTTCCTTAATATATCTCAAGTATTAAAAAGATAGTGATTTCCACATGTTGTTGTGAACATCCTCTCATTACTTCATGGGCTATTTTGTGTAGGAGTACATTTATTTGTATTTCTCTATAGTTGATCTTTGTCTTTTCTTTTTTTGCCATACTATGTTCCTGAGAACTGCATTTAAAAGCAGTCATTGTGGAGCTGATTTCTCTCAAGGCACAGTCTGTAACTGAGATTTATTTCCCTAGTCAAGGACTTTGTATAAAAAAAGATTGTAGAAGTGGTCCATGGTAAACTGTCAAACATTGCTTCAACATTTTTTTTTTTTTTTGACAGGCAGAGTGGACAGTGAGAGAGAGAGAGACAGAGAGAAAGGTCTTCCTTTTTTTTCCCATTGGTTCACCCCCCAATGGCTGCTGTGGCTGGCATGCTGATCCAAAGCTAGGAGCCAGGTGCTTCCTCCTGGTTTCCCATGCGAGTGCAGGGCCCAGGGACTTGGGCCATCCTCCACTGCACCCACGGGCCACAGCAGAGAGCTGGACAGGAAGAGGAGCGACCGGGACAGAATCTGGCGCCTTGACTAGGACTAGAACCTGGGGTGCCAGTGCCGCAGGTGGAGGATTAGCCTATTGAGCTGCGTTGCCGGCCCATTGCTTCAACATTTTTACAGATATATGCTCACCTAAAAATAAAGAAATAATGTTGTAAGTAGTGTTTGGAAGTAAAAAGGCAAACCTGAAATCTCCTAAATTTAAAGAAATTGAGACCAAGGAAGGTGATTTGTTTAGAATTACACACAATGCTAGTAGAAGATTGAGGAATAAAACCATTTCCCACTTAAAAAACTCTGCGAAGTGAACATATGTCGATAATACAAGGAGATTTATTGTATAGTCTGTACTACAACTCTAAGGCATTACTAATTGATCATAAATAAATAGGCTTCTTCAAAGATTATACATAAATAATTTGCCATCATTCTTTTTATCTCACTAGAATTTAAAATGCTTCTGAGGAGTTTTTTACTTGTTATTTGTTCCGTGCATTTCTTTAACATGCTATGCAGGGCCTTCCTTGCCCAGTCCAGAGCTGTGCCATGTCAGAGACTGGGGAAGAGGAGACCGGATCAGCTGAAGCATCAGGGTTCTCAGACTTGAGTGACTCGGAGCTTGTGGAGTTTCTAGAACTGGAAGATGCCCAAGAGTCAAGTGCTTCACCTGGCAAGCCTGGCCCATCTTCTGAACTCCCTGGGAAGGATGGCAAGCCCAGAAGCTTACAGAACTGCGGAAGAGGATTGGATATCTCATCACCCATGCAGAGATTCCACCTTCAATATTTGTATGTCACTGACCTGTCTGCTCAGAACTGGTGTGAGCTGCAAATGGCACACGGAAAGGAGCTTCCTGACCTTGTGACACCTGAGAAGGCAGCTGTTTTAGATACTGGGGCCAGCATCCATCTAGCTAGAGAATTAGAACTTCACGATCTTGTGACCATCCCTGTCGCCAGTAAAGAAGATGCCTGGGCAATTAAGTTTCTGAATATGCTATCAATGATTCCTACCCTGCAGTCAGAAGGCCGCATCAGAGAGTTTCCAGTGTTTGGGGAAGTGGAGGGTGTGCTTCTTGTTGGAGTGATTGATGAGCTGCACTATACAGCCAAGGGGGAACTGGAGCTGGCGGAGCTCAAGACACGCAGGCGCCCTCTGCTCCCTCTAGAAGCTCAGAAAAAGAAAGACTGTTTTCAAGTCAGCCTATACAAATATATCTTTGATGCCATGGTACAAGGGAAAGTGACCCCTGCAAGTCTCATCCACCACACAAAATTGTGTCCAGACAAGGCACTGGGGCCTTCAGTGCTGAGCCATGCCCGGCGGGGAGGCTTCACTGTGAAGTCTTTGGGTGACCTCATGGAACTGGTGTTCTTATCTCTCACTATGTCAGACCTTCCAGTCATCGATATTCTGAAGATTGAGTATATTCACCAAGAGAGTGCCACTCTACTGGGTACAGAAATTGTAGCCTTTGAAGAGGAAGAGGTGAAAGGCAAGGTGCAGCATTATATGGCCTACTGGAAGGGCCTCCGAGAGCCTCGAGGAGTTGACATAGAAGAGGCTTGGAAGTGCCGGACGTGCAGCTATACAGACATTTGCAAGTGGAGAAAGGGCGGTGGGGTGCTAAGTTCCACACTGGAGCCCCAGCCTAAAAAGTCAAATAAATAGAAGGTATGCTTTCAGAAATGTTGATCTTTCTGGAACTCCTAATATACCTCAGTAAAAGAGGACCCATCTCTAAGCTTTGCTTTCATGGAGATCATGTTCTTATTTTGGTTTTTATATTTCTGCAGCCTCTAGCCACATCCAAGTCCAGGAGCAATGCTCAGGGATGAGTGGGAGAGATACAGGGTTACCCATGGAGCTTTGCTGTGGGTTACCAGAAGGTGGATGCTCATCATGGCTAGAGCAAAGGTATCTTCCAGCAAATGTCATTTTCCTAAGAAAAGTCTCCAGCTCCTGATAAGTCTTCCCTATTTTTCTCACTCAAGAAAAAAAGTTTTTCTTATTTTCTGTCTACATTTATATAATAAAATGAAACACTGTCAGGACAATTGAACTGATTTTTTTTTTTTTTGCATGATCTTGATCATCAACTATACATAGTTGGGTGGATGTTATTTCAAGCCTTTAAAAACATACCTAAACAGGCCGGTGCTGTGGCTCACTAGGCTAATCCTGCGCCTGTGGCACCAGCACCTCAGGTTCTAGGCCCGGTTGGGGCACCGGATTCTGTCCCGGTTGCTCCTCTTCCAGTATAGCTCTCTGCTGTGGCCCAGGAAGACAGTGGAGGATGGCCCAAGTGCTTGGGCCCTGCACCCTCATGGGAGACCAGGAGGAAGCACCTGGCTCCTGACTTCGGATTGGCTCAGCACGCTGGCTGTAGCGGCCATTTGGAGGGTGAACCAACAGAACAAAGACCTTTCTCTCTGTCTCTCTCTCTCACTGTCTAACTCTGCCTGTCAAAAACAAAACAAAACAAAAAAACAAAAAACAAAAAAACCTAAACATATTTCTGAAGCACAATTAGTATAATGGCAGGCCAATAATTTAAAATACAATAAATATTCTCAGAGGTAGGAATATAAAGTAGGAATAGGAAGTCATAAAAAGTCAACATATTAGATAAAGGTGCCAGCATTGTGGTGTAACGTAAAGCTGCCACCTGCAATATCAGCATCCCATCTGGATACTGCTTCAAAACCCAGCTGCTCCACTTCTGATCCAGCCCCCTGCTAATGCCCTTGGGAAAGCAGTGGAAGATGGCCCAAGTGCTTGGGCCCCTGCAACCACCTGGGAGAAATGGAAGAAGCTCCTGGCTCCTGACTCCTGGCTCCTGACTATGGACCATCCCAGCTCTGGCTGTTGTGGTCATTTAGGGAGTAAACCAGTGGATGGAAGATTCTCTCTCTCTCTCTCTCTGAACTCTGCCTTTCAAATAAATAAATCTTAAAAAAAATTAGGTATGAAAAATACAATTCATGAGGTACCATGTAATATTAACACATTGTAAAATCCAATAACACTCCTAAGTATATGCTAAAAATTTATATGTGTACATCAGAAAATATTAACAAGGATAGACTTTGCAGCACTTTTGAAAAATTGAATATTATTTTTGAAAGGCAGAGACAGAGATCTTCCATCCACTTGTTTACTCCTCAAATGCCTGCAATAGTCATGGCTGGGCCAGGCTGAAGCCAGGAGCTCCATTCTGGTCTTGATGTGAGTGGCAGGAACCCAAGTACTTTGGCCATTATCTGCTGCCTCCCAGGCACATTAATGGAAGCTGAATCACAAGTGGAGGCAGGACTCCCTCCCAGGCACTCCAGTGTGGGATGTGGATGTCCCAAGCAGTGGCTTAACCCCCTGTGCCACGATGCCTGTATCACTTTGTAGTGCTTTTACAAAATAAAAACCTAGAAATTATTCAGATGCCCATCATCAAAAGGGTGTATGATGTGGTGTAACAGCCAGATGATCTATAATGATATACAACAATATGCATCAATCTTAGCACAATATTAGTGAAAAAAGTAAGTCCCAGGGTGGGCACTTGGCCTAGTGGTTAAGACATTAGTGAAGACACCTGCATCCCACATCGGAATGCCCAGGTTTGATACCCAGCTCTGGCTTCTGATTCCAACTTCCTACCATGGAGATCCTGGGTGGCAGTGTTGATGGCTCAAGTAATTGGGTTCCTCCCGCCCATGTGGGAGATGTGGATTGAGTTCATGGCTCCCAGCTTCAGCTTGGCCCAGTCCCAGCCATTGTGAGCATTTGAGGAGTGAACCAGTAGATGGGAATCTTCTCCATTTGTCTCTTCTTACTATCTCTGTCTCTTAAATGAAAGTCCCAAAAGAGTACATATAATATGATACCCTTTTTGTAAAGTGAAAAATAACATACATTTAAAGCAAAATAGAAAGGTAGTAGAGAAGCTGTCAGAGTGCAGAATTGTATGGACACCAGCTGGGAGGTAAGGACTTACTTATGAAGACACTATTGGAGAACTTCCAGAGTAGGTGGATGGGGAGAGCAGTTGGCAGAGGGGAAGTTTCTGCATGAAGTGTAAGGTTAAGAGCCAGGAGAACATGGAAGATGTTGTTAGTGTGGCTCTAAGTTATATACGAGCTGGTAAAGCCTGGACGTCTATGGAAGACACAATGAGTTACTTCTATGAGATCCACATATTCTTACAGACACGGAATCTTGTGATAACCCTGCCCATTGACTAAGTGGCTGTTATATGTCAGGCATTGTTCTAAGCACTTTTTTAAAAAATATTTATTTATTTATTTGAAAGTTAGAGTTACACAGAGAGAGGAGAGGCAGAGAGAGAGGGGTTTTCCCTCCGCTGGTTCACTCCCAGTTGGCCATAACGGCCAGAGCTGTGCCAATCAAGAGCCAGGAGCCAGGAGCTTCTTCCGGGTCTCCCACATGGCTGCAGGGGCCCAAGGACTTGAGCCATCTTCTACTGCTTTCCCAGGCCATAGCAGAGAGTTGGATCGGAAGTGGAGCACCCAAGTCTTAAACCGGCACCCATTTGGGACGCTGGCACTTCAGACCAGGGCATTAACCCACTGTGCCACAGCACCAGCCCCATCTAAGCACTTTATATGGTTGATCTGTGTATTTGTTGTCCCCAGTGAGGGAATTCAGTAAGGTTATATAACTTTCCCAAGGTTTGTAAGTGGTAGACTTTAGCCTAGATATGTCTGGCTCTTAACCATTATGCTATAAAGTTTTTCTTACTATTAAACCACTATGTATATATATACACACACATATATATAATCCTTTATATTTTTAAAAAGATTTATTTATATATAAGGCAGAGTTACAGAGAGGAGAGGCAGAGAAAGAGAAAGAGGTCTCCCATCCGCTGGTTCACTCCCCAGTTGGCTGCAACGGCCAGGGCTGTGCCGATCTGAAGCCCAGAGCCAGGAGCTTCTTCTAGGTGTCCCACGTGGGTGCAGGGGCCCAAGCACTTGGGCCATTTTCCACTGCTTTTCCAGGCCATAGCAGAGAGCTGGATCGGAAGTGGAGCAGCCGGGACTTGAATGAATGCCCATATAGGATGCCAGCACTGCAGGCAGCGGCTTTACCCATCACACCACAGCGCCTACCCCTAAAATCCTCAATATTTTGAAAAAATTTTTATTTATTGAATTTCATTTTATTTGAAAGGCAGAGATGTAGACATCTCCTATCTGATGATTCAATTCCTAAGTACCTGCAAAAGTGAGGCTGGGTCAGGCCAAAGCAGAACTCCATCTGAGTCTCTTAATGGATGACAGGGTTTCTAGTATTCAAGCCACCTGCCAGGGTGTGCATGAACAGGAAGCTGGATTGGAGCAGAGAAACCAGGGCTTGAACCAGCCACTCTGGTAATGGGATAATGGGATGCAGACGTCCTAAGCAGCGACTTGACCACTGAGCTACACACCCACCACCATACTGGGTACTTTTATAGGCCTTAAGAAACTTGGAATTCAATTGGAGGCATAATATACTGCACTTTGTGGGATAAACAGCATTACTTAAGCTAACAGTTTTCAAGAAAAGAATTTGCTAAGGGTTCTGTGGCATGTTAGTAATATTAGAAGATTTAATAAGAAAGAAAAAGAGTCAGCTGGCAACACTGTCAGAATTCAGTAAATTCCTGAGATCTAGTCCACATTTTAGTCTTATTTAAAATCTAACATTTTCTAGTTGTCACTTTATGATTTCTCACACAATGAGAAATTTGTAGTTGGGGTTGCCTCAGAAGGACTCTTAAAGACTAAATGTTTGTGTTCCCCCCACCCCCGGATTACTGTATTGAAATCCAAATCCCAAAGATGATGGTATTAAGAGATGAGCCTTTGGGATGTGATTAGGTCACAAGGGGGCGCCCTCATGAATAGGATTGGTGACCTTATAAAAACATGCCCAAAGGAGCTTATTTGCTCCTGCTAGCATGTGAGGTTACAATGGGAAAGCGCTATTCATATACGGAAAAACAGGCCCTGACCAGCCGCTTCAGCGGCACTTTGACCTTGGACTTCCCAGTCTGCAGTCTTGGCCACTTGGGGAGCGAACCAGAGGATGGAAGATCTGTCTGTATTTACCTCTCCCTCTCTGTGGCTCCACCTTTCAAATAAATAAAAATTTTTTTTTTGACAGGCATAGTTAGACAGTGAGAGAGAGAGACAGAGAGAAAGGTCTTCCATCCGATGGTTCACTCCGCAAATGGCCGCCACAGCTGGCGCTGCACCCATCCGAAGCCAGGAGCCAGGTGCTTCTCCTGGTCTCCCATGGGGTGCAGGGCCCAAGTACTTGGGCCATCCTCCACTGCACTCCCAGGCCACAGCAGAGAGCTGGACTGGAAGAGGAGCAACTGGGACTAGAACCCGGCGCCCATATGGGATGCTAGTGCTGCAGGCGGAGGGTTAACCTAGTGCGCCACCGCGCTGGTCCCGACATCTCACGTTTGAAATCAACCAATCAATCTTAAACAATTTTTAAAAGCTTGGTATTGGATCAGTAGGTCAGAACTATGTAATATCCTTATCTAAGTTTCATATATTAATAACAGTATCACAAATAGGGATCTGTGTTTATGGAGCATGGACTATTCTGGCTGTCAAGAAATACCATTCTCCCACTAGGTGGCATTTTCTGAGGCTGCAGTGTGGGTACTTTGAGTCTGATACAGCAGGGTTCTACATTGCATTCCTAGTGTCTCAAGTCTTCGTATTCTCCCCATTTCTACTTTAATAGGTCTCTAAGAGCTGCAGAAAATGATCAACGTCCAGCTAAGGCATCCATCTATTTGTTCAGTCATTTAAATCTTGCCCAAATCCATATGATAAAAAGGAAATGTATAGTCCAGGAAAACATAGACTGCATAGACTATCTGCTGCAGAAGAGAATTTAGAAAATTGACAAGTTAGGGGCTGGCGCCACGGCATAGCTGGTAAAGCTGCCGTCTGCGATGCCAGCATCCTGTATAGGTGCCGGTTTGTGTCTTAGCAGCTCTACCTCCGATCCAGCTCCTTTCTGATGGCCTGGAAA